TCACGAAGTGTGGAATTTCCCTTGCTAAAATGATGTTATCTGTGATCTGCCTTCCTAGAATGAATATCGATTGGTTTGGAGCAACTAGGAAGGGAAGGAGGGGTTTACTTCTATTGGCTAGGACTTTAAAAATTATTTTATAGGATACATTACGAAGTCCTATGGGTCTAAAGTGGGATGGTTTCTTTTGGATCCACGATTTTTGGTATAAAATATAAGATGGGTATGATTTTTGGTATAAATATATGGTATATTTTCTTCTTATGGTAAATAATATTATATATATATGGCATGTATATATCAACATATTATCTGAATTTATAATATTTAAAGCAAATACATGCCTTGGTTCAGGTGTAGATCATAAAAGTTAAACCACAAATTTCTTTTTTACTTTCATACATGGATAATACATGTGCTTACACTAAATATGTCTTTCTATAATTAAATTAGAATTCTATTTTTTAAAAAAATAATAATTTTCTTAATAAATATGGGATGCCTAAGGTGCTAGACAACACCAATCCAAGGGTCAAATAAACATTTTGGGATAGTGATAAATAGGTGTCCTAAACTTTCAAATATGACACATGAAGTCCCCAAACTCATAGAAATAGACACCTTGGTCCATTGTCTTAACGGATCACCCATGTTGTAATGTACAATGAAATTACTGAAATGACTTATATATTTTAAGCACATGTCTAGTTCTATTTCACGCAACAACAATAATTATATAACCATTCAGACTCGAGTTATCCTACCCACAAAACATTGTTTCCGTGTATTGGGAATATCTCAGCATGCATTGAGAATATCTCAACATGCATGTAATACAGTAAGAACATGAGATGTTCTCATGTGTCACTGCAATCTCATGTGAATAGGTGTGGGTAGGAGATCCCATGCAATAACAAAAATAACTTCTTTTAATCTATTTTATTATTATTATTATTATTATTATTATTAATTTGAACTTTCAAATTCAAATGCCTAGAATTATTCTACCAAAAAAAATGTTAAGAATTTTTAGTATTGAGTAACTTCACATGCTGCGAATAAATGACGGAACAGTAAACTGCGATGTATATTTTTGGAAGTTCCAGGAAAGTTCAGGTACCTATCCGTCGCTAACCCAAATTGCGAATTACCTGCCTGTAATTTAACCTAAAATATAAACAAAACTAACTGGGTTTTTTATTTGAAACGGAGCCACTGGGTGTGGGTTTCGTAACCTTGGTTGTGTTGGTTTTGGAACCTGCTGCATGCAGCCTCATCCATTTTTGGTTGCCATTTTTGTGATGAAGGTTAGATTCCTTCTTCCATTTTGCTTTGAATTTTGTTTGATTGAACTTGCATCGCCCCGTGTGAATCCTGAATGAGGTTTGATCGAGTTTTGCTCTACGATAACCCTTCTCATGAGGTTTAAGAATGTGGGTTTTGTTTAGTGTTTCTGCTTCTTTGTTCATTTCTTTTACTATGTTATTCTCTTACAAAAACCACTCATGCGACATGATCCCCCCTAATTTTTCTTAGAAAAGAAGTCATTTGAAACTTGAATATACTTGATGGATTTATCACAATTTTGTTTCTGGAAGTTTAAGTTTTCTCAACCGTGCTTTAGAAGATGCACTGATCAAATTTAATTCTTGAACCTATGGAAGAGATTAATTAATCAATACTAGAAATAAACTCAAGTGTCAGGAGAATAGAGAAAATACATGAAAAAATGAACATTTCTTGAACGTCCTTGAAAAACAGGATTTGATTATTTTCACATTGGCGGTATTGAAACCATGGTTATGTTGACCTACAAACTTGTAAAGTTCTATACTTGGGGCAATTTATCTCGTTTTTTTTATTTTTTATTTTTTTCAGACTATAAGAGAAATTGGGTCTTAATATGAAGACCCTTTTCAAAAGAAGTAAAGAAAGGAACTTGCCTTTCTCTCGTCTGCATATTGTTTTTAAAATATGCTTGTTTATATATATATATAAGTACTTAGCTTGCCAAGTGATTCATATTTGATGGGTGAATGGATATCGTGCTGACCATAAAAGAAACAAATCACATGGTTAAGGATCCCAAAGATAACCTGTCATGAACACAGTTGTACTCTAGCCATGTTTGTCCAGTTGAGAGAGTTCATACAAAATGATTAAAGCTATGGCGGCTATGAAAAGGATAGATCACTGTCAAAGGCTTTGAAATATTTAGCTTCAACACTAGGCGTTCCTTTCGTGCATATCGGAATATGGTTGCACTGAATTTGTACAATATATCTTTTGGAGTAGCCGAGTAGGATAACATTAATTGATATCTGCCAGTTTATTTTTGACCTGTGCTTGAGTCCACTATGAAAACAATCCACCAATTTCAGAAACACAATAGTTTTTTTGTGGAAATTCAGGGAGTTCAGAAAGGATCATCTCTTCAATTGGAAAATGGTATTGGAGAGTAAATAGCAGGGAGAACTTGGGAAGAAGGTTCTCAAGTAAATATGGACTTACATGCTAAAAGACTTGGTTTGTCCATGGAAGTCCATTCTTTCCATTTTCTCTTTTTCCATAAATTCATAATCTGGAAGACTTTGGTGGGGGTCAACCTATCCCTGTCTATTCTGTCTATTCCTGTTTCTGATTCTCTGTTGTAGCCTCATTTCTCCTGGTACTATTTGGAGCCTATTCGAGAAGAGGGTTGCCTAATCATGAATTATTACAAGTAAATATGTTTCTCTTCACTCTAATGGTTCAGATAGCTTTCTTTGGTTTGTTAACCCAAATCTCATGTTCATCATTCTTCCATGCCCCTGGCAGTTGACAATACTGTGATTAACTTTTAGAATTTTGCATTCAATTAGGTTTTGGCTAGGACTAAACTCTCTTCTCTCCTCCCCCTAAAGACAGGGCTTTTTGTTGGGAGACTTATTACAGGAAAAATATACCTAATAGATGCTCCAGAAGACTTGGGCTACAGTAATTGTTTGGGAATATTTTCTTTTTCCCTTTCTTGTGCATAGTGGCAGCCACGTGTGAAGAATGTTCAGGCCCTTTTTTGATTTTTAGCTTGTAATGGCAAAATCTAGGGCTGACAAGTGTGAGAACGTGGGTCTGAGTCTGAGAGCAACCACTTTGTGCAAAAAATGCCGAAGGTTAGGACTGTATCCTGTCTAGTGTCTACCCCTTCAGAAACCCCAGATAGCTGGGACCAACATTGGGTAATGGCCACACCCAAGATGAGGAAGATTATGTAAAGGTGCAGTAGAATATTCTCTGATTGATCTCAATAGCATTTAACATCCATAAAGCTCTAATGTTTTGTTCCGGTATGATGTTTAATTTGTTTCCTGATGTGTAGAATTTCCCCTTTCAGTAGTTTTTGATATTATGTGTCAAACTACCTTTGAATGCCCTTTCAATTCAAAATTCCACCTAGAACCCTAATTTCGAAAATTTGGCTATTTTCTCAAAGCATATTTTTTGTCCTTTTGAGTAAATGTTCTTGAAACCCTACCAAATTTGGTCACTTCCTAGAAGTCTATTTCTAATCCAAATTACAATGTTTCACATTCTAGGTGGAATGTTGATCTATCAAATACACAAAATATTCAAGCATGCAATATTATATTGAATCTATCAAATACACTAATTTAAATTTATATAAAAATGATTTTTTATTTCAAAAAAATTATTGAAATAAAAGTGTTAATAATAGAATACTTATTTTAGTAATTAAAAATTATGAATTTGTGTATGAAATGTATTTTAAAAATTTTAGTATATAGATATGAAATATTTTATGTTAAGATTATATATTTTATAAATTATCAATTGATATTTTAATTTACATTTTATAATAAAATTTATTATTTACAAAAAGAAATATATTGCTTATCAAACATTTCAAAATTTAATATTTAGTTGATTTTTTTTATTAATGTTGAAAAGTAAAAATAGTAAAATAAAAAATAATTGATATATTAATTAAAATATAATAATTGTATATGTTTTGTTTCTTGGACTTAAATAGAATATAACATAATAATGGTTTTATGCATGTGTTAATTTGTAAAGATTTATATAATACGAGTCTTGGACTCCTGATTGTTGGGTTATCAACAAAATTGTATGATATCTATACATTCCATTATATTTATTGTAATATATTTCTTTATATACCATTAAAATATACATTTCTTATGCATTTATACCTTATTTGTGGTTATTTTGACCTTAAAGTTAGTGTAATTGATGTATTTATGAAATTTGTATGTATTTTTCTAGTGTATCCATGTATTTTTATATCTTTCATCTATATCCATGCGTTAACAAAACGTATCCGTATCTGTATCCGTATCCAAGTTGTCTGATACCCGATACTGATACTTCAATCCTTGGTTCTATAAGCCTATCTTGAGTGAACCTGCCCTGCATCAATTTGGCATCAGAATTGTCTTATATCAAGGTGAGGTGTTTGGTTATATGAGCAGTGGTTCTTTGGTTATATGAGCAGTGCTAGGAAGGGTAAAATATATTGTAAGATTTCATACAAAAAAAGTATTGAGTTCACACTTGTAAATGAACTGTTAATATTTGTTTATTTGACTTTGGAGTACTTCCATAACCTGGGTGATTTGACTATTTCAATGGATTAACCAGGGTTTTTCTTTCTATTTGTAATGGAATAAACAGAGCTTTACTTTATTTTTTTTCCTTTCCTTCCACAGGTACTGATTTTTCTTCCTCAGGAAAAAGCATTTTCACTGTCCTTTTTGACTACAACCAGGAAATCTTTTGGTCATATTCATCTTCTAGAATTATCAACGAAGTCATGGAATCTGGTGAACAACATGAATTAGAAGTTGAAAAGCAGAAGCTCTTTGATACAGGGAATGTAGGTGAGGGATGTGAGAGAATAAGTGGTCTGCTTGTATCAATTCTTCATCACATTCTCTCCTTTCTTCCTACCAGATATGCTGCAAGGACTAGCATCTTGTCAAGGAGATGGTAACGCTTGTGGTGTTACATTTCCAATGTGGACTTTGATGATGATCGGTTTTATGATGGAGGAATCAATGATGACTTAATATGTAAATATATGGATTTTGTGGATAAGGTACTTGTTTCCCACAATTCTCTTAATTTATATAGACTCCGTCTTCCATGTGGTGACTGTGATGCATCCCGTACATGGATCCGTGCTGTAATAAATCGTAAAGTTAAAGAGCTTAGTCTCTTCATCTCTCCTGCAGTAGAAATCAAGCTTCCCTACTGCTTTTTTGCCTCTGAATCACTAGCAGTGTTGACATTGAATTTGGATAACTCTGTTCTCAGCCTTACATCTTCAATTTTTCTTCCTGTTCTTAAGAGCATGAATCTTATTTCAGTTATATTTTTGGATGGAAAGTCAACGGATGAATTCTTTTCCAACTGCCCAGCCCTTGAAAGTTTGGTCATGATATGTTGCGACATGAAGACATTTGGGGTCTTGAATATTTCTTCTCCCAAGCTCAAGAGTCTGTCACTTAGAGGGGGTGGTAATGGATATTTAAGGTGGTCTAAGATCAAGGTTTCTAGTCGAAGTCTTGTATCAATCAAGTACAAATATTACATTGCCCGAGATTATTTAGTAGAGAACACTTCATCTCTGGTTGATGCTTGTATTAAGCTGCAAGCTGAGTTTGGGCAGAACAAAGTTGACATCATTGAGGTACAATCTCATTTCTTCTCCTAGTGTTATCTACTCTGTAGTTCTCTTTTTAATTTGATTAGATGTTGAAAATCTATCATACTTCAACAATTGATTTGTTGAGAAAAGTTCATAGATACCTTTTTTGATACCTATGGTTTTATGAGTCTTTTGATATGACTATTTACCATGCAGATTGTCTCTGCGGTTCCTGATTTGTATGATCAATTGCCTGCATTTGATAATCTTAAACGTTTGGAACTGACTACTGGTTACCGCAATATCCATCTTATGGCTGTTGCCCACCTTCTCCAGCCGTCTCCTAAACTTGAATATCTTCAGATAAAAATTGATCATGTAAGTAAAATTATTGAACAAGGAACCACATTTACTTAAAGCTACTTAATTTAAGCAATCTATGGATTTCCTTGTTTTCTAATTAATATCATGCAATAACCTTAGTGGTGGCATGTGTATGATGACCAAGAGCGCTGGGAACCAAATAGTTTGGGCTTGTTCTGTCTTGTTCATCTGAAGATTGTTAAAATCAAGTGCTTTGGAGGAAGAGATAATGAACTTGAACTTGAACTTGTGAAGTTTTTACTTGGAAATGCAGGAAACCTGAATCATATGGCAATTGTTGCTAATCCTGAATTATCTGAAGATTTAGAGAGGCAAACGAAGATATCCCAAATGCTAATTAGTTTTCCAAGAGCTTCAAGTACAACTATGGTCGACTTCAAAATCCTGGAACATGGAGTTCATTATGATAGAATCTTATCTAGTGATGAGTCATGGTGGCCTGACTTATTTCCTCATAAGAAACGACCACTGAAAGTAGCTGAATGGGCGGGAATACATATGACTGGGTAGACTGGCCAGAAGATGAAGAGAACTTGCCAGAAGATCAGGACATGCTAGAAAATGAAGAGGACTTCTTAGAATGAAGAAGATAAAGATCATATGTGATCAATTAAGCATATGTAATAGAAACCATCCCGATACTTCCACCCTGACATAATTAAGCAGATCAGGACCATCCATGTTGATATGTAGTAATAGCAGGAAAGAAGTTACAACAATATAACCATGTGCTGAATGTGATGTTATAAGGGTGATCTGTTTTTTGATGGATGATACAATTACAGTGAGAATGGGGATGAAATGCTAGTTTTGCATACTTAGTAAGCTCTTTGTCTCCTATTTGAATTTGTTTAAAGAGCGTCTGCATTTACTACTTAGACTAGCTATGGTAGGCACTTCATCTTATTAGTTTTAGGGCCGTCAATGGGTCGGGTAGACTCACTCAACAGAAACGAACAAACCTGACCCAATTATTCAGGTTCTGGGTTTCCATGAGAACGCCCTAGATCATCGGTAGTTTATCCTAGACGAATTCCTACTTCCTGGGAAATACCAGCAACAGTAAAGAAAACAAGTCTTTAGATGTACAGGCAAGTTATGTTAGCGCGTTTCAACTTTCAACCCAGTTACCCAGATGTGAGCAGTGTTTTTGAACTGTCGTTGACCTGGATGGTTGGATCGTTTGGCCTGGGAATCGTTTAGCCATCCTCAAACTGGCCCCTGGCCAAAAACTGTTGATTTGGTCAACAATTCACTGACCTGGGTGGTCGAACTGTTGACCCGTTCAACCTGTTTAATGGTTTTTGGCTGTTTTTCTTATTTTAATTATTTCTTATTTTTTCAATCAAAATGGGCCATCTATTCGAACCAGAAAGTCAAACTTAAAACGAACCATCTGTTGGGCCACTATGTAGTCATTTAAGCCTAGTAAAACTTAAAATTCTTTTATTCAAAAGCCAATTTTCATCACTGAAATGGCTGGTAACACAAATATAACTAGTATTAAATTTGGATGTCCAAACATCCGAATTAATTGCAACTTTAGAATTAAGATTTACTAACAAAGAAATTAAATTTTGTTTATATGAATAAAAGAATTTTAAAGCTTCAGTTCTTATAGTATTCCTAAAAACTTTTTTATATTGTGGGTTTACAGAATTACGCAACCATTTTTCTGGTTTTGGATCTTCAACTAACATAAATGGTTGTTTTGCATGTACAATATACTTAGCAAGTTCTTGTCTCATTTTTTCGGGTTTTGTGTGATAGGTGGGTATTTTTTTTTTTCAAAATGTCCTTATATTGTGCATTAAAGGGCAGTAATAATTAATTTTTGTAGTATAAGGATAATTTATTACCCATATATAATCAAGTCAAGTATTATTAATAAGTTACACTTATTAATTTAATTATTAATAAGTTAACTTATTAACTCCTCTTTAATAAGTCAGGGTTGATCATTTTCAGCATGGCCCTGTATTAACACAACCAACTGTAAGTAGGGGTGAGTATGGGTTGGTTCGGTTCGATTCCATAGCAAAACTTGGAAACCTACCTTACAAGGGTCAGCTCCAGGTTTTTGGAACTAGAACCTACTCTATGAATGTTGGTTCCAAGGTCGGTTCTGGTCTACTTGTGGAACCTGTTCTTTCTTTACTCTCCCCCTTCAAAAAAAAAAAAAGAAAGAAAAAAAAGAAAAAAGAAACATGTCCTTTAAAAACTTAATATTCAATAATGATAATATATAGTTTAAAACTTATGTTATCTTATAAATTGAGTAATTTAATATGTAAATTATCATAATATATTAATATATGGTTCAGAATTTGTCATTATAATTTAAATTTTGTAAATGTTACCTTTTACATTATTTAGTATATACATTCAAATATTAAAATGAAAACAAATTATCAAATTGCTTAAGTAAGTCAATGGCAAAGTGAGACCATGGCTTTTGTAACCATGAGTGCTTGGGTTTAAATAAATCTTCATATCTTTAAAAAACTTTTGGGGCATATTTCAAGGCAAGTTCAATTCCAAGGCTAACCAAGGTTGATTCAGACAGAGTAAACCCCTAGACCCTGGAATGGACCTGGGGTCTATTCCAAGAATTTGAAACCAGACCCTACCATATAACAGATTGGATAGGGCTGGTTCAAGGCCAATTCAAGGTTGGTTCCGTTTGGTTCCGGCCTTCCGGGTAGAACCTATCCATTTGCTCACCCCCAACTCTAAGGCTTGGCTAGGGCTCAACACTTCAAGTCGGGCCATAAGCCTTGCATCGCTTAGACATATTTATATTATTTATACATACTTATACATATAATTTATGATATTTTTATATTAGAAAATGTATAAGATAATTTTTATGTATATATTATATGATATATAATATATAAAATAATATATATTCACTATTTTATATAAAGAATTCATAGACTTGAATTAAGCTGGACCCTATTCAGGCCTAGCCTAGGTCCGTGTAGGCCTGGGTAGGAGCTTATGTTTTTTGGCTTAGAACCAAGTCGAGACCAAGCTTGGACCATAATACATGTGCTAAGCCCAACCTATGGCTGACTTTGCTCTGCCCATGGTCATTGTTAGTTAGCTTTAGTCTGTTTTAATTCTAATCAATACAGGTTTATTAATAAAACAAAAAAAATTAGTAGCAAGAAATTATTAATTCTGAAACTAATTTTTATAATTTAATATTCATTAAAATTGCATTTAAAATAACGATAAAATAAATAAATTAAAATTATAATAAATATAAATAATACATATATATTTAAAAATATTAACTTTGAAATCATAAAAATAGTAACATTGAAAGTTCTAATATAAAATAATAAAGCTTAGTAAAAAATTAATAAAACTAAATATTATTATAAATTTATTAATAAAATTAATAATGTAAAAAAAAATTAGTTTTAAATGAACAAAAAATTAATTTTAAAACTAATCTATCCAATAATATATAATCAAAATTAATGTTTGGATGGCATTATCAGTGCAGAGTACTTTTGTAGAACTACTTTTACCAAAGCCCGCAGAGGAGTACAATCTCGTTGAGTGAGGTGAGAAGTACTAAATTAAAACTAGACGACTCTTTGGGAAGTAGCGATAGCGATAAGAGAATAGCACTACTGCAGTGCCGCGTTGTCAGCAGGTATAATTACATCGGGAAGTGGGAGCGAACGTTTCCTCCTCCATCCACAAGTTTGAAGGCAACTTGGTTCTGAAAGGACTATTGTGTCTGTGTCTGGGTTTTGTTGGCGTTGGAAGTTGGAACCTTCTGCTCTGCCTCATCCATTATCGGTTGCCATTTTCTGTGATCAGGGTTTGTTTCTTTCTCCTCTCTTGATTTGCATTCTGTTTTATACAACTTGCATCGTCCAGTGATAATTGAATCAGGTTTCATCGCGTTTGGCTCAACGATAATCCTTCTTATGACCATTCCTTTATTATTATTATTATTATTTTTTTAATTTTCAGATTATAATAAGCTTGCTTTCCTCCTCTTGTCTGTATATTCTTTTTTTTTTATATATATATATATATATATATATATATATATATATAATAAGCTTTTCTTCATATTCTCTTTGCTGTTTGCTGCCTTCAAGTTGGAGTTGAAAGAAAATGAGTAGTTAGCTTGTCCAGTCATGCTCATGTATGCTGAATGCATGAGAACTCATATAAAAGAACTAACTATTAAAGTTACAGGGGATAAGAATGGATAGATCACTCTCAGAGACTCTGAAATAATTTGCTTCAACATTAGTTGTTCCCTTCGAGCATGCGTGCTAGAATACAGTTGCACCTAATTGGTTCAGTATCTCCCTTGGAGTAGGTTAACACTGATCATTATCTGCCAGTTTATTTTTTTTCCCTATGTGCTTTGGTTCACTGTGAAAATAATCAATCCAGTTTATTTTTTTCTCTGTGCATGGAAGCCCATTCTTTCCATTTTTCTCTTCTTCCATAATGAATATATATAATCTGCATTTTGGAAGATTTGATTTCTTTTTTCTTTTCTTTCCTTCTGTCTCCTGATTGAGAAATGTTCCTGTATCTGGCTCTCTGTTGTGGCCCCATTTCTCTTGGAAATTCATGGAATCTTTTGGAGAAGAGTGTTTCAGATAGCTTTCTTTGGTTTGTTAACGCAAAAGATGGTTCCTCATACTCATCTTTCTTCCATGTCCCTGGCAGTTGGCAATACTTCGATTTGCTTAAAAATTTTGTAGTCAATCAGGTTCTAGTTAGGCCCAAACACTCAGAAACTCTCCCCCCCTCCCCCTGAAGTCGAGGCTTTTTGTTGAGAGACTTGCTACAAGAAAAAGATACCTATTAGATGCTCCAGAAGAGTTGGCTTTTGTCTCTTTAAATATTCACTTTTGTTCAAAACACGTAGTGGGGTCTATAAATCTCATTTATCTTTTGTTTGTCTAGAGCAATTGTTTGGGTCCTTTGGGAATATTTACTTTTCCCCT